ACATTTCTGCATATGACATTTTAAATACCAATTGCAGCTTATCTTTGGTAATATGTATATATATGGAGTACTACACAGCTGTTTTGTTGATTTCATCATATTTCTCATAAGGATTATAACAGGTTTTCCATTTATAACTACACAGGTTTTTTTTTTACCTGGAGTCCCAACAACAGCTTAAATGTTACCGTCTCACACTAAAGCTTGTTTACTGTGTTGAACGCATTCTTTTGTATCATGCTACATGTTTGACACTACAGGGAGATAGGCGTTTTCTATAGTGAAAGTAGTGTATGTAAATTGTGTTGTGAAATTTGAATTAAAAGATGGATGCCAATTTTGACCCTGGATAAGATTTTTGTACATGAATATCTTGGGCTTAGGGCATCATGATATGAAATAAAGTTAAGATCAGATTGGAGACCAATCCCAGTTACAGGTGTAAACGGGGGAATCAGATTTATAAATAGAACCTAAACATTGTTGTAATACAACTGTATAAAAATGAAACAAAAATTTTTAAAAATCAAGATATAGGTATGTTTTTGTAATAAACTACATGTTTAGCTGACATGTCTCATCTTACTTCAATGTTTCTTCGTCACTCACAAACACCAATTGTGTATTTATCTTCGGACCAAATACAGTTTGTTTGCATATAATGAGAAACTCTTGTAATTATGGTATACAGTTTACGTGTCAGTAGTTAATGGAGGTGTTCGCCCTTCCTCAAACATTTTCTTTCAAATTGCCAACATATAGATTCTACATTTCTACAGGCAACTGGATAATGTAACATTTTTTAGACCAGTCGGAAAAGTCACCATGCTGTGGACGTGTAGCTATGCCTACCGTATGGGTTGTTGTAAAGACTGGCCTGAACAGAGGATACTCACAGCTTTTAATCCTGTTTATCATGTAGGATTCATAAAGATGAAGTTGAATGTTAAAGTTCTTATATAGAAATAAATCAGAATTCAGAACAAAGGTAATGTAAAAACTGGCCGAATGACTGACTTGCTAAACAGCAGTGACGTAATACTGTATATTAGGTCTATCAGTTCCTGTATAACAGTTTGTGGGCTGTTCAAATCACCCTTTCATCATTTATCTGTAAAGTACCTTTATAATTGTTGGCTGTTCAAATCACCCTTCATCCATGGTTCATCATTTATCTGTAGTGTATCTTTATAATTGTTGGCTGTTCAAATCACCCTTCATCCATGGTTCATCATTTATCTGTAGTGTATCTTTATAATTGTTGGCTGTTCAAATCACCCTTCATCCATGATTCATCATTTATCTGTAGTGTATCTTTATAATTGTTGGCTGTTCAAATCACCCTTCATCCATGGTTCATCATTTATCTGTAGTGTATCTTTATAATTGTTGGCTGTTCAAATCACCCTTCATCCATGATTCATCATTTATCTGTAGTGTATCTTTATAATTGTTGGCTGTTCAAATCACCCTTCATCCATGGTTCATCATTTATCTGTAGTGTATCTTTATAATTGTTGGCTGTTCACATCACCCTTCATTCATGGTTCATCATTTATCTGTAAAGTATCTTTATAATTGTTGGCTGTTCAAATCACCCTTCATCCATGGTTCATCATTTACCTGTAAAGTATCATTATAAGTGCTTTTTTTCTCCTTTATCAAACTTTATGTATATGTTCCCTATTGTCCCCAGTTGTGCACTTTTAATTTTGAAATTGATCAGTGAATCAAAATGGTTGACAGGCAACCATCTTGGATGTTGACAGCTAAATTGTTGCTTTTCCTTGAAGTAATAAAATCATATTTTTCAAAGTTAATATGTATGTTCCCCTTGGTCATGAGTTGTGCCCATTCAGTTCTGTTCAAAGTGATAAAATGGCTGACGAGAGACCATCTTTTAATTTTGTTGTATGAAGTTTGTTATTGCTATTTCAGAGAAAGTTCTTTCTTAAATTTCATATGTATGATTCCCTTGTTGTTAAGTGATAAAGAGGAAAGAAGGGAAAAGTAGAAAAAAGATCAGTCATACATAGAACCCATGGTGAGCCCCAATATCTATGAGGGATCTCTTGTAGGTAATTATTAGTTAATTATAATATATATAGTTCACTAACATTATGATTTATTGTTCAATGTCTTTTGAAAACTATAGAATTCCTGATATAATCATCCTGAGAAGGACTCAGAGTTACAATTTTAATGGGATATTTATCTTTATTTAAGAAAAATGAACACCTTGATGTGAAATTCTTCACTGTGTTTTTGAGATAATTTATGAGAACATTTTAGGTCAGTACTTTCATTCTTCAGTTGTCAGGTAAAGGATCTAATTTTTTTTTTTGCTTTTTATTTTTGTTTTGTTTTGTTTTTTTGCAAGGTATGGTTTCAGTTTTACAATAGCAGTAATTGCTATTCATGTTTCATTACATTCGTATATATTTCTTATATTCAGAAATATTGTTTTAATGCACTTTATGTATTTGCATAATTGTTTAATTCAATCACATTTCTGGTCTGCTGTAAATCTCACCTCAACTTCTGAAAGTTTTCATGTTACTGCAGAAACCAAGAAAAATCACTTTCCATTCATCATATCGGCAGATGTAACAATTACAATGATTAATCTGTTACAGTAACAGGTACTCAAGATTGAGAAATAGTATGATGCACTTTCTTATAGGATAGCCCTCAGCCCTACTACAGTAGGTTATCACTTCAGATTATCAAAGGTGACCTACATTCAATGTGTTTACAGATTATTTTATCCTTATCACAGGTGACATACATTTACTTATAAACATCTTACATTGTACAAGGTGTCATTGTACCTCTGGTGAGATTACCATTGTAATTACTCAGGTGATTAGAAGAACATGTCAGAATTTCAAAGTTGGGGGTACATAATTATTTAAATATCATTGTCAGTATTCTAGCAACTTCATTCTTGAAAGATTTTCATCAAGCATCATACACTTATAAAGCATCAAATTATCTGGGACAAAGTTGAGTTTCAGGGTTGTTGGGTAAAGGTCAAGGTTACTGTTTCTATTTTTGGGGACGATGTATTCCTTGAACAATCAGTATGCTTGTTATACTAAAGTCCTAAAAGATTACGCAGCACTTAACCATTGTAAAGGGGCAGCGTAAACAACATGTCATTTCTATCATCAAGAATCATGAACAGAGAAGTGTTTCTTCAAAAAACACTCTAAATACTGATATGTTGATACATTTCATGTTAATATTGTCCTATGTAGCCCAATATTGCCGATGGACAGGTTCATTGGTATGGCATGTAACAATATAGTATATACAGGTTTAAATTCTTATACTGTTGACCTCCCTATCCTCAAGTGAAGATGTGAGGTGCGTGGTTAGGTGCGCAAGAAGATCCCATCTTATAATTACCCTGGCTATTCAAGGGTAATATAACTCTAGCAAACAAACAATATACCTGATTCTGCAACGTTTCCTGTCCCAGTATATTTTACTTCAGTGTGCCACTTGTACATATGGTATGCAAACATGACATCACCATGACGAACATTGCTTTAATTAAACGACCATCTTTATTGTGAAAATGTGTCAGAAATTAAGCTGAATGACTAGGACTGGAAAACATTTTCAATGATATTGCAGTGATAAGTTACAAGATACAAGATTTTGATCTGAATTGGAAAAAAATTGCATTGGAAATAGAATCTGTCATAATATTAGATATTAAGAAAGATCTGTAAGTCTGAGGTAAATGTTATGTTGGGGAGTAGGCTTGTTATGTTGGGGGTGAGTAGGCTTGTTATTTTGGGGAGTAGGCTTGTTATGTTGGGGAGTAGGCTGTTTTGTTGGTTCATAACAAGTCATTGAAGGACATTTAAAGTGGATATTTTTGGCCCTCAGAGTTGTAGATTGACAGTCATTAGAGACTTAGTGATTGTAATAATAAGGTATTTTAGAAAAGCAGTTTCAGTGCTTTAGCAACTTCTGTTCAAAATGCAGGGTTACATGGTCAAGGTCACTGTTACTATTTTTAGAAAATCCTTGTCCACAGCAATTCATGCTCTTGGCCTTCTAGTATTTGACATGATTCTATGTTAAACCGTAAGTATTTATTTTCCAAAGTGAGATTGGGGCATGCATCTTCCCAGATTTTTGCACACATTATTGAATTTGATTTTGATAGATTCCATGCAAGTTTTGTATTTGCTGTTTCTGAAATTGTCTTTCAAACTAAGACAGTCTATCAGACTATTGACCAGAGTGGTAATACCGAAAAGTAATGTAGTTTTCCATATTTTTTCTGATGAGCTATCGACAACATGTACAGTTTGGGAATGGAATAGTCCTATTGCTAGTAATATTTCTCTGATAGTCTGGAAAGTTTTGTCGCCACATGGGGAGTTCTGGTGTACATCCGGTGGATCTAGACACTATGTGTAGTCATAATGACTGCTGCCCAATCATTACCCCGGATGTTTTCCTGTTGTATCAGTTTTATACAGTTTGTGATTGTTATAGCGGTACATTTGTAACTACAGTATGCATTGCCAAATAAGTACATTGTAAAGAGTAGTCTTGACACTTGGCTTACTTTAATCACAGAGACGGTTGGGAAAATAGTATGGCAATATCACATTAATTTGTGACCTGTTGTTATATTAATGAGGGTATTTCTTATATTATGGCACTTTACCTGTTATTTCAACAAGCATTGTGTGACCTAAACCATCCAGCTCTCTCCTAGAAATAGCAGTATAACAAAGTTGAATTGTCTACTCCAAGATGGTAACCTGTCAGCCATTTTGGCATTATGATACATCTCAGATCTAAATCAAAGGGAACCTTCACGCAAAATTAAAAAAAAAAAAAAATTTAGTGTTTTTCTTTTCTTTTCTTTTTTTTTGTTGTCATTTTAGATATGTAGAATAAAAAAAAAATCTAGATGAATTGTTAAAAAATACTTTTGATAATGGAGCAGAAGTATATGTGATGTTTTTCAGGGAGAAATAAAACTCGATACTGAAGAAGAATGTCCTACAGAACGAGCTGCCCGTCATCGTATTATACGAGAGAGTATTAATGAAGAGGTACTGCAGGCAGCTAGGCAGGAACTACAGAGACGCAAGAAAAAGGTACAAAAAGTTAAGGAATCTATTCAGAAGAATTACATGGTAAGTTAATGTTTTCAATAGAATCCATCCAATGTCACCATCACATGAATAAACAAGGGGCAAAGAGCCACTATATTTGGCCAAAATATGCTGAAGACTGGCTGTCAAGTATTCTCAGGTATTTGACCTTGACCCACTTAAGGTTGTAGGAGTGAAATACGGTAAATTAAGTTAAAAACAAAAAATCCCAGCTTTATTGGTTAAAAGGCAGTCTGGAATTCAGTTGGAGAGGTTTAGTGTTTAAAAGATGACTGTTGGGATTGGATAAGTCCAGAGATCTAGACATAAAAATCATTTCATATTTTTCACATATATCTCAAATACTTTCCAAATTACAAACCTATGAATGAAATATTCATGTGAAGAAATATCATGATTATAACCTGCTCAACGAAGTTGATGGGCTTCCATCTATCCTTCTCAAAAAGATTTCAACTTCATTACCCAAGAGCGTGGTGAGTTTTGCAAGACCCTTGTTCTCTTTAAGTCCTGTTTTGAGATGTCACCACTACTTATTGAACCGATTTCAGTTGGCAATCATTGGCATATGAATGCCAACAGAATAACGGCAAATTTGATGTTAGCTTGTCAGCTTTATCATTTTCAGTTCTCATCTTGTTATAAGAGAGAAACCATCAATCTGTTTATATTTCTTCAATATTCCTACATCGTTATCTGTTCATCAGTGGTAATGTCTTTGGTAAGGTTACATTCTAGGAATGCCATAAAATGGTAAATATTTACTTGTAACATGCCCAGAGAAATTGTAGAGTCACACTTTCATCTTTGTCATACTTTATTTCTTGATTTTATAACTGTAAATTGTAGAAGATTCAACTCCCAGATGAACCACCAGATGGAGCTCAAAACTGTGTATTGGTGATGTTGCGTACGCCACTTGGAGATATACGACAGAGAAGATTCAAACATATTGATACCATACAGGTAAATGATATTTATATTTAAATAATTCAGCTTACATATCAGGATTATTATTATAGAATAAAATGATGCTTGAAACAATCAATTTTTATTGGCCAAGTTTATGACCACCTATCCCCTGAAGTTAGACTTAGAAATCAGCAGATGAAATTCCATAATTATTGTACAAAGCTCAAAAATAGCATCAACTCTGACGTCAGGCAGCGTTACATTGTACAAAAAACACATTCTTGTGTCTTTACTTAAATGTGAAAGATGCATAAATGTTACTTTACATTTCTTGAATATTGAAATGTTATTCAGTGATAACCCGAATACTGTCTATGCTGATGTTAGGTGATGTTAGGAAATGCAATGTTGCAGTTTTAGATCAGGAATAATGAGAGCGCTGAAATAGGTTCTCCAGCTGTTGAGCCAGTCCTTACACTCAAACAATGCAATGTCATTATGATAAAAATTACTAATTATCTTAAATTGGATGCAATACACTATGAAATTAAATGAAAATTTCAATGAAATGAATGAGACAGCAAAATACACATGTAAATATTGAAAACTGCTGAAGTGAGGTGAAGGTGACTAACTGGAACCATGAACTGTTCCTAGTATATGACCGTGCTAGAGATAAAGATCATTGTGTATCTACATGTCTATTTATACACCAAGATATAGTCTACATAACATAAAATGGTGGTCAGAAGTACAGTTGTCCCAAGACAAGTAAGGACATCTGTTGGTGGACGCAGGTCAATATACAGCAGTATGGCTGTAGTGTATATCATGCTTCCTGACCCGTCAACAACATTTACAATTCATAGGTCAAAATTTATCAATTTCTGTTGATCGTGCAATATGTCATTATACAGGACTTTGCAGGACCATCCTATATTTTGCCCAATTCCACTCCCAAATGTCTAAGAATTGTTTCTGTTTAGATTATATGAGAACAGCAATGAATTTAGATCCTTGATAAACATAGGGCTCGTCTGTTTTTTTATTCTTTTATTTTTTGGAAATAATGTCAAGAAAATGTAAGCAATCTTATAAATGTGGTAAGTTTATATATTTAAGAGAGTTGAAAAATGGGTACATGAAAAAAATTGAATTTTGTATATATATATATATATATATATATATTGAAATACATTAATCTCTGGATTGGATCCCTTGACTATGACACTAACATTTAAACCTGGTAATTATCGAGCTACGATGCTATCCAACAACTCTAATCAAATGCATTTGTACTCACAATACCCTTACTGACCAAGCACATATACATCATATATTTTACTGAATGACAATAAAACGAAATAAAAATTTGCTTTTGATAACAAAGTCACGATCACAATCCTTTGGTAAACAAGCTTAAAACTAGTTTCTCTCGGAATTGTGGAAATCAGATTTCATCAAAAAGACCGTACTTCTTGCTTTACAACTGAAGGGACTGAAAAATCACTTCGACTCAATGAAATTCGAGTCATCCGAACTAAAGTTACAAAGAGATAGAAGGAAAAAAATTGGGACTTGAAAATTATTTCGACTCAAACTGAATTTCGACTCAAGTGATTTTGAGACAACAAGTTTCAACTGTAGCATTGGATCATACTCATACTTGAAACATGGCAAGCACTACATAGACTCTAGATAGTAGCTCTTGTGAAATAGTGATCACAAACTTTCAAACATCATAACCCAAAATGAATGTTGACAAACCTATTGATATGAATGCTGACCATATTGAAATGAAATCCTATTCAAAATGTAATATGCTCCTTTAGGACCCCCACTACTCATGATAAAGGAGCTTGGAGTCATTATGGATAGCAATTTATGGTATCTTTCACTTCGCTGATCAAAGAAGCAGGTTTGTGAGTCTTTTAAAGTGCTAAATATAGTCTCCGTCACTCAGCTAATGAAAAGGAACATATGATGTTAAAAATGGTCTCAACTGACCGAGCATGCTTTTCTGACCGAGTTGATAGATATAGGTTATGACAGTGGAGACTTCGGTTCAGTTGCTGTTAAGACACTCATCAAAATTGATAGATATGGATTATGACAGTGGAGACTCCAGTTCAGTTGCTGTTAAGACACTCGTCAGAATCGATAGATATGGATTATGACAGTGGAGACTTGGGTTCAGTTGCTGTTAGGACACTCGTCAGTATTCTATTTTTCTCTGTACTCGTACATTTGCATCAATCTAATCCAACAGGATGTGGAATTAAAAGTCATGGGTTAGTTTATCAGATCTCTTAAGACAGATTCAGTAAGAGTAAGGCCCTGTCACACATTACTGATTTGCAGAATTTATGGCGACATATGATAACTTAATATGCAGAAAGTAGCATTTTAATTTCTTTTCCATACACATTGTATTCAAAACAAGTGGAACGTATACATATTACTATTCTAGAATGAATCTAAAATGTGTTCTGGATGACCACAGAACTTACTAAACAGCTACAGTATAATGGCTAATAGGCAGTGTTAAGGGGAGCTTCATCACATGGGGTTCACATGAGGAACCCATCAGTAGTCAATGTTATCCAAGAGATGGAGAATCCAGTAAGGCTGAGACAAATGCCTTCTAACTGTCCTCCAGTGTTAGGAGGACTTCATTGATTTAACATTGTGCTGTGTACTAATAGAGACAGGAGGACTTCATTGATTTGACATTGTGCTGTGTACTAATAGAGACAGGAGGACTTCATTGATTTGACATTGTGCTGTGTACTAATAGAGACAGGAGGACTTCATTGATTTGACATTGTGCTGTGTACTAATAGAGACAGGAGGACTTCATCGATTTGACATTGTGCTGTGTACTAATAGAGACAGGAGGACTTCATTGATTTGACATTGTGCTGTGTACTAATAGAGACAGGACTTCATTGATTTAACATTGTGCTGTGTACTAATAGAGACAGGAGGACTTCATCGATTTGACATTGTGCTGTGTACTAATAGAGACAGGAGGACTTCATTGATTTGACATTGTGCTGTGTACTAATAGAGACAGGAGGACTTCATTGATTTAACATTGTGCTGTGTACTAATAGAGACAGGAGGACTTCATTGATTTAACATTGTGCTGTGTACAGGAGACAGGAGGACTTCATTGATTTAACATTGTGCTGTGTACAGGAGACAGGAGAAGCACTCCATAATGAGGACTATACATCCTTCACCATTCTTTCCTGATCCTCCGTAAAACATTGTTGTAGGCTATGTATGAGTTAGACATTATTTCAACATGTTTTAACATACAATTAAGTAACATGAGTGAGCATGTATAAACAATTAGGTTAACATATCTACAACTTATACTTGTGTTTATAGAATGTGTCGGCCATATGATGGCATCAGTTGAATAATTGTCAATATGTGACAGATCTTCTACATAATATCAGACAGTTCCTGTTGTACCTATAATTCAACAAAGTTATCCATGTCATCTTCAGCAGATGCTTTCATTACATACAACCCAGCATTGTTTTCACAGTTCAGACTTTAACACAAAATTGTGTTCAATTATTCCTTTATCTATAACAAAGATATGCTGTGTATTATTGTATTGTTTACCAGCCGTAACATAATTGTCTTTACATTTTTACAGCATGTACTGGACTACATGACTTACATCGGCTTCCACCAGAAGAAATACACACTAGTAACAACCTACCCACGTCAGTCCTTGTCAGACCAAAGGGAAGTAACTCTCGCAGACATGGGAATCAAGACTAGGATAACACTAAATGTTGAAGAGAAAGACTGGGACTCTGATGAATGATTATATGAAAGTGTGAGTTGTATGCATTATGTATGAGGTCAGTAGGGGTACTACAGGATTATAATTTGTGACTTACAGCTGTAATTGATGAGGTCAGTAGGGGTACTAGAGTATTATAATTTGTGACTTACTGCTGTAATTGATGAAGTCAGTAGGGGTACTAGAGTATTATAATTTGTGACTTACTGCTGTAATTGATGAAGTCAGTAGGGGTACTAGAGTATTATAATTTGTGACTTACTGCTGTAATTGATGAAGTCAGTAGGGGTACTAGAGGATTATAATTTATGACTTACTGCTGTAATTGATGAGGTCTTTAGGGGTACTAGGGTGTCAAAGTGTGACTTACATCAAGAATTGAAGAGGTAAAAGAGGTAAGTAACAGTACTAGTGTAATACAGTGTGCGACTTACAGCTGTAATTGACAAGGTCAGTAGTGGGGAACTTATGTATACAGTGCACTTGAACTGAAAATTGATAAGTTAAGTGTTAGATATGTTACAATCCTCATACCTGATCTGAAGTCATTATGGTAGCAGAGCTACAAAATTTGGTAACAGGAAACTTTAACTTATATTTAAAAACACAGAGTGAGTTATTAAGATATCAGATGACTGGTCTTGGTCCAGGGGTCAGTTATACTTATTTACTCATATTGCCTAGAGTTAGAAGCTGTAATATACTGACGGTAAGGACTTGACTTCTCTTGGTCCAGTGGTCAGCATGTACTTATCATCTGACCTGTTATTTTTCGACCTTGTCAAAACGTTGATACGGCATCCAGCGTGGCCATTTTGATGCCATGGCCACCATCTTTCAAAAATGTTTTCTCCTGTTCCGCTGGTGCCATTGAGCTAAACATTGGTGGGAATGTTAAGGAAAGTTAGCCAACAAAGTGTTGTTGTTTGTCAACCTTGTCAAAACTTTGATATGGCAGCCAGGATGGCCATGTTAAAACATGATTGCGCAATCCTGATTTTCCTGTACAACACCTATTTCTAGTGTCTTTTACCTTTAGGATTGAGCTCCAGATTTACTGTCAAAAATAGGTAACACTTGTTACAGTTACCTACTCCTCATCAAAACTATCAACTGCATCATGGAAACATCTTCTCAGTAAGATTTCATTCAAAGTAGAAAAAATTAGCCCTTCTTCCTGCGGAATGTTTTTGTAGTCAGATGACCATTAAGGCCCATGAGCCTCCTGTTTTTTCATGGTGCTTTGCTATTTGTAGTGATAGGCTTAATTTGTTGACACCTCTTCTTCATGTCATTAAGTTTTATACTTTAAAATCATTCTAATCTTAAATTTCTTTGACTTGAAAAGAAATGTAGGACTGTCACTTTGAAAATGAGATCAACTGCCATTGGATAATTTAAACAAACAATTAATGTTCAGGTTTCAGGGCTATTTTGTTAGATATTATAGATCTACTCCTGTTACTGGTTGATATGGAGATGATATAGTTGTAGAACTTGTTATTGATACAGTACATATATCATTAAAAATGATGTTGTGCTGTAGTTATATAATTATTTATGCTGCTTTATTTCATATACAACTAAATTATATCTCATTTACCTCTGTTTCACTTTCTAAATGTTGATGATATTAATTAAGTTTGATATTAAATTTATGTCTGGTTTTGTCATTAAAATTAAATACAATTTTGTTTTTTGTTTATGAAATATTGACTACGGATCCTCAGTGCTGTCCCAGCATATCTACAGCTATTATAGTAGTAAAGATAAAGTGCAAGCTAATATTTGAACAATCTAGTATATGATGTTTGTTTGCTTGGTTTAACACTGGTCAACACCCAGGGTCCTTTGGAGGTGGGGTCCCCTGGTAGAAGTTGATGGCTACTTAACTGAACAACATACAGGATGCTGTAACATGGCATCTGTTTCTCAACTATGTGAGAAATATAACAGCTAAGGGTATGGAACATCTAACCATGTACCTGGAATCTACACCTGAGGTCACATAGGCCAACTCTTTACCAACTATCGCGACCCCATGATACACAATGCATCATAATGTAAAAATATTTTTGAAATGTAGTTCAAGCCACCTGTAACTGGATGAATTCTGAGGTTACTAGTAGTAGTTTGGTTTTTTTTTGCAAAAATGTCCATATTTCAAGATCTATGATTTTCTTTTCAAATGAGCTCAACAAAACATTACAAAAAATAGACTAGTGCCTTTGCTATTGACCAGGGCAAGATTTCATTTTTGCTACTTTTCTGTTACAATGGAAACAAATGGATATACAAAAAATACTATCTGCTGACTTTTCATTTTCCATACTTGTAATAACATTGTGGTATATCAGAAGTTGAAAATCATGCACATTATTATACCTGTGAGCAACTGTCTTAGAATGGTCACTGATCAGTGTGAAACGTAAAGGATGGAATCTGGTTTTACATGTAAAAGGACGGAATCTGGTTTTACATGTAAAAGGACGGAATCTGGTTTTACATGTAAAAGGATGGAATCTGGTTTTACATGTAAAAGGATGGAATCTGGTTTAACTTGTAAAATGTATTTGTGTAAATACATATAACATGCAGTGAACAGAGTTGGTTATTGAGGCAATCATCACCATCAAACATTATCTGTCTTACATCTCCTAAACATCTCTCAAAGTTGACAATCCCAGTTAAAAAAATTCCATGTTAAGAGAAAAACAATTTTTTTGGGAAGGCTTTCAAGACCTCCCCCTCTATGCTAACGATATTTTCCAATCATTGTATCTAAGGAAGTGGCAGACATTTTAGTCCAAGCCTTGCTTGGAAATGTGTCCTGTCAAACCAGTTATCATTGTTTCAATGACGGCACAATGCGACGAATAGGTACCTTGCATGAGATTATTTACTTGTTTCCATTTTTTTCTTCAGTGACTAAATAACCTTGAAATGGATGTTGAACATGTATCTATAACAGATACGCTATTAGCCATATGACAGAAATTCATATATATATATATACTTTATACATACTTTGAGTGGTGCGGTTTTGAGGAAAAAACACACAGTATATCAACAAAGCAATAACTACAGCAAACCCTATCTTGTTTTCCAGACAACAGACATATTCATGAGTAATAAGCTTTACTATTTCAAGTTATTTCCTTAAGAAAAAGAGTTAACTCGTCAAATTTTAGACCATCTACAACAGGTCACCACTTTGCACAGGTTTTACTAATCAAGCATTTACATGACCGAGATAAACAAATAATAATTCTTTAATATACAGCATTTTTCAAGCGCTTCAGTGACATTGTAAAATGGCCTTGTCTAGAGCACAGGATATATGTGATGGACTGCAGGGAGTTTGGTGTGTTTTCAGTTTTATATTTTCTTTTAGATTTGGATAGCTGAGAAGTAGTAATCATCTTCACACAACTTCAAAGTCCTCAAGTGAGTGCACTCTTTTGGGTCAGACATATGTGTAATCATGTAATATACAGATGAGATTCACTTCAGGGGGTTAATTTTGAAATAATAACAGGTTTGACAGGTTGCAAGCCTTTTGTACCCCGAGATGCCCATACTCGTTTCTAAGCAAGGCTTGGACTAAAATGTCAACCACTTCCTTTGATACAATGACCAGAAGATATCATTAGCATTTGGGACATCTCTGAAGAATTTAGGAAACCAAAACTTTTTTCTTTAAATCTCAAAATGAATTCTTTTTAACTTGCATTGACTGCTTTAAAAAGTAAGCATTGATAGATAAACTTCATGTTAAACTAAATGAAAATAGAATGCTATAAAATAGAAAATATTCATACATTTATTGGACAAAGTTGAATTAAGATGATTGAAATGATGTAAACAATGTTATACTTTATATCAAATCGCTGACATACATCTAAATACACCTTCAATAAACCATAGTTTCAATCTCATTTACCCCCTTACAAAATTGTAAAAAAAGTATGATGTTGAGTAAGAAATAGCATGATAAAAATTTATCAATGAATATTTACATTTTACATTATAACACAACAACAAAACACAAACAATACATTGATATCCTTGAGATGAACTACTGGTAATGACTAACTACATGTACTGTCCAAAAAATTAAATATCCTCAGCTGATAAATCTCCCCTTCAGTCTACAGATTTCTCTCTTCTGGGTTTTTAAACTCCATTCCAAGGTAATCAAAGATATCTTCTTCAGAAGATACAGGAAGAGGTTCTCCTGGAGTACCTGTCAAATCATCACATTTACAATTAGTACATCACATCAAAATCACTGCTACATTTTCATAAGTCTTACACAAGTCAACAAGATTCTGTTTCTTTTCTGTTGTATACAGTGCACAACCAAAAACACAAACAAGCAGGAATTTGAAAAAAATATAATAACAAAGGTTTTAATCCATGTACTGATATCCTCCATGAGGTAAAATACCTACAATACAGAATCTGTACCCCTGAACAATAAGACAGTACAGAATATGTACCCCTGAACAATACTTACCTTAGCTGTACTACCAAGAGGCCTCAGACAGTACAGAATATGTACCCCTGAACAATACTTATCTTACCTGTACTACCAAGAGGCCTCAGACAGTACAGAATATGTACACCTGAACAATACTTATCTTACCTGTACTACCAAGAGACGTCAGACAGTACAGAATGTGTACCCCTGAACAATACTTATCTTAGCTGTACTACCAAGAGACGTCAGACAGTACAGAATGTGTACCCCTGAACAATACTTATCTTAGCTGTACTACCAAGAGGCCTCAGACAGCACAGAATATGTACTCCTGAACAATACTTATCTTACCTGTACTACCAAGTGGCCTCAAACAGTACAGAATATGTACCCCTGAACAATACTTATCTTACCTGTACTACCAAGAGGCCTCAGACAGTACAGAATATGTACTCCTGAACAATACTTATCTTACCTGTACTACCAAGAGGCCTCAGACAGTACAGAATATGTACACCTGAACAATACGTATCTTACCTGTACTACCAAGAGGCCTCAGACAGTACAGAATATGTACTCCTGAACAATACTTATCTTACCTGTACTACCAAGTGGCCTCAAACAGTACAGAATATGTACTCCTGAACAATACTTATCTTACCTGTACTACCAAGAGGCCTCAGACAGTACAGAATATGTACTCCTGAACAATACTTATCTTACCTGTACTACCAAGTGGCCTCAGACAGTACAGAATATGTACTCCTGAACAATACGTATCTTACCTGTACTACCAAGAGGCCTCAGACAGTACAGAATATGTACCCCTGAACAATACTTATCTTAGCTGTACTACCAAGAGGCCTCAGACAGTACAGAATATGTACACCTGAACAATACTTATCTTACCTGTACTACCAAGAGGCCTCAGACAGTACAGAATGTGTACACCTGAACAATACTTATCTTACCTGTACTACCAAGTGGCCTCAAACAGTATTCGTTGAGAGTGAAGCCCTGCTCTAATGCATGTGCTCTCATATTTTTGTTGAACTGGTCACTGCCAGTGAAGTAGATCAATGCACAGTAGTACTGATCATTTGGTATTAACCTGTCAACAGAAAATTTACATATTAACTGACGTTTGTAAATTATCAGAGAACAATTGAACTGTGATCAAGTTTTGAAATTAAGAGCTAGGTGCTTCCAAAGATCACAATTTTGGATCTTGTGAAATTAAAATCTTAATTGCCTCCCTTGTACCACATCTAGAACCTGAATACCACTAGTACTGACAAAGTGTACATGTGACAGGATCAATATTAATGTTTTCTAAACATTCTTGTATTCCTAATTATCCTGTTATATATATTATCTTTACATATATATTATAGCATCCTATTGTTCTGTTAAGGTCATGTCAGTATTGTAAAGTTTGGTAAGTGGTCAGTTTTGTCCTGCCACACATATACTATACAAACTATCCAAGATCTCTCCAGAAATAGTCATCAATCTTACTCTTTATACACTTATTGAGATCTATGATCCAAAGAAAGAAGTATGCTTTGCCAGAATTGCTACTGTATAAAGTGGTTTAAATGTATCAATCAACTTAAAAGTCTATTGAAAGGAACAAAATGGTGGAAGTCATGTAACAGACAAGATATCAATCTGAAGACAAGGTGCCATATGATATACTGACCTGATATCAATCCGTTGGAAGGCTCGGTCTTTCTGGCTGTCGGTGTCCCCAAGCTGGCACACACCCTAATAAATACAAGCATTGGTGGTAATGACTTGATGATTTTAGGTCATGTGCATCTAAACATTGAATATGATAATGTCTATATACTAAATACAACCTTTTTTTGTTAATTTCCATCTGATTACTGTAAAAAGTTTAAAAAGTAGTCAATAATTTAATAACTTATGGCTTTTTATAATCCAGCTGAAATCAAGTTCCATGTTCAATTGTCGATCTACACAGTACAAACTGTTAGACCCAAAAACAAAACAAACATCATTTATCTTATGATTACAAAGATTATTAAATTAAAGATAACTAATTTATTCTATTAGAAAACTGTTTGATAGTGCAATATTCAGTTGCATGGAAAATGAAATAAGAAAATAAAAACTTGTAAATATTAATACCATGAACTTAACATCTCCCAATGAAAGTCTGTCTGTCACAAGTCCACAAGCTTCCAGCTTTTCCACTACCTGGGCTAACAACTTGGGCTGTTAATGGGTAGATAAGACACATAAATGATACATATGTTTCAAATGAGAATATTTTATCAAAAATCAAGGCCAGAGTGACCTTCAATTATCACTGTACTATGTGAAAAATACACAGAGTATATAACACTTTTTCCACAGCTATAACTCGTATTTAATTGACTTTTTAAAGATGACATGGACTTTTTTTTTAAAAGAAAATATGCAGATATCCTGGACTGCTTGGTTGCATTAACTACGTACCTTTTTCCCAGATATCCTGGACTGCTTGGTTGCATTAACTACGTACCTTTTTCCCAGATATCCTGGACTGCTTGGTTGCATTAACTACGTACCTTTTTCCCAGATATCCTGGACTGCTTGGTTGCATTAACTACGTACCTTTTTCCCAGATATCCTGGACTGCTTGGTTGCATTAACTACGTACCTTTTTCCCAGATATCCTGGACTGCTTGGTTGCATTAACTACGTACCTTTTTCCCAGATATCCTGGACTGCTTGGTTGCATTAACTTCGTACCTTTTTCCCAGATATCCTGGACTGCTTGGTTGCATTAACTACGTACCTTTTTCCCAGATATCCTGGACTGCTTGGTTGCATTAACTACGTACCTTTTTCCCAGATATCCTGGACTGCTTGGTTGCATTAACTACGTACCTTTTTCCCAGATATCCTGGACTGCTTGGTTGCATTAACTACGTACCTTTTTCCCAGATATCCTGGACTGCTTGGTTGCATTAACTACGTACCTTTTTCCCAGATTCTGAAGTGAATGAAGGATGAGTCATCAAAATATCTATATCACCACTGGATGCTGCACCTGCACACAAAGGGAAGTAACCCCCAGGTTTAAATACAATCCGACACAATACTAAAATACATTTATCAATAACATCAAAAGCTTTTATAATAGAGATTGTTCCAATCTCTTTCAATGACTCTTGAACCACTTCCAATATTCAATTTATTACTTTTTTTTCCAAACATGTTAACCCTACATAAAATGTATAAAGATTATTGTTAAATGATATAATACAATTATCATCACAAAGGAAAGATGAAGTTACTCGGAGAAAAGTAAGGATACAATACCTCGACGGAAACTGCCACATACATCACATGTGTATTCACTGTCCAGTTGTTTTATCTCCTTAACAGCAACATCCTAGGGGTGAGAAACTTTACTATAAGTACTTAGGTTTATATTAGAATGTCTGAGTGATGAAAAGTATTTTTTATCATTATTTCATTTACACATGTATATCTATGTCAAATTGGATTATTTTGTTTACAATTTTTAAGAGATGCTTAATTTGTAATTAAAAGAAGAAACAAGATAAAACAACAATTATACCAATACAAAAGTTTGCCGATATACAGCAACTGTTTGATCTGAATGTTGAGTTATGTCTTTAACTCTCATGCCCTTTTGAGAAATGATAGTCCTGGATCATGCCTACCATACAATAAACTCAGGAAAATCTCCTTCTAGTATAGTACTCTTATGAGTTTCATATTTCTGTTACAATCATTGAACCATTCTTTATTTCTCATACATCTTAGGTATGCATGACAATACATCAAAACTAAATTTAACAGAAGATATACAGAATAATGGGATAGTATTTGGGAGTACATGGAGGTGTTCATGGGCCTAATAAAATCAGCTTTACTTTGTTAAATACAAGAGGGAAGTTGTAAAGTACAGAATAGGGGCTCTCTCAGCAGAAACACAGGAGGATGCTGTGAATACCGATGTGGGACTTTCATGCCAGAGACATACAGGAGAGTGAAGTGAAGTACATGATGTGGGACTCCCATACCATAGACATACAGGAAAGTGTTGTAAAATACAGAATATGGGACTTTCTCGCCAGATACACTGGAGGGTACCAGAGAGATACAGGATGTGAGGCTTATACCAGATATATAGGAGGTTTCCGTGAAATACAGGATATAGGGCTCCCTCACCAGATACACTGGATGGTACCAGAGAGATACAGGATGTGAGGCATATACCAGATATACAGAAGGGTATTGTGATAAACAGAATGTAGGGCTCTCATAAGAAAGATAATGATCAGTGAATGAGAGACTTTCTCAATATGTATACTAAAGGGCACTGTGGGACTCTCATACCAGAGACATACAGGAGGGTGTTGTGAAATACAGGATGTGGGACTCTCATACCAGAGACATACAGGAGGGTGTTGTGAAATACAGGATGTGGGACACTCATACCAGAGACATACAGGAGGGTGTTGTGAAATACAGGATGTGGGACTCTCATACCAGAGACATACAGGAGGGTGTTGTGAAATACAGGATGTGGGACTCTCATACCAGAGACATACAGGAGGGTGTTGTGAAATACAGGATGTGGGACTCTCATACCAGAGACATACAGGAGGGTGTTGTGAAATACAGGATGTGGGACTTTCATACCAGAGAAATACAGGAGAGTGTTGCGAAATACAGGATGTGGGACTCTCATACCAGAGACATACAGGAGGGTGTTGTGAAATACAGGATGTGTGACTATTCCACCAGAATATACATGAAGGGCTTTCTCATCAGAGTATACAAGAGAGTGTTGAGAAGTTCAAGATAGATATATATGAGAGGACTCCTAAATTCGTTTACAACACCAAAAGTCAACAATAAAAAAACTTTTACCCTTAATTGAATGACTTCATGTCTGGGAATTCTTTTTTCAAAATCTTCATAATATCTGAAAAAGAAAAAAAGAAAATGACTGAACACAAAATCTGTAGCGTGGTCGTCACAAATACATACAGAAATCTGCCTAATTAGTACACAGATTTTATCTTACAAATAAGACTTAAACCAACAGGCAGCAAAGCTTTTTAATAAACTTATACACTTTCCAACATCTCTGCCTATTTTGACCATAATTTATATCTCCTTTGTTGAGTACAACATGTACAGAAAGTGCAGAATTACATTTGGTATACTTACAGTAAAGCATAATAATCCCATGTACACCTTATTTCAGGAGAAATATCAACAAGTGTTATTTCCTAAACCTATTATTCTCCTCTATTTAATTTGATATAATGTGCCCACCCCCATCCAAACCCTTTCGATTCTAGCAAAACAACTAAGTACATGTAATATCTGTTCAACTGTTTAATGACCACACTAGCTGAGGACTGGAATATCACACTCACTTGAGACCAATCTGCTGGTGATGATTGAGTTTGTCGGTATGCTTCCGTAGATCTGAAATATAACCCCAAACAATACAATGATTCATTATATAAACACTGTGAAGAATATATATGTAACTATTCTGTTTGAATTTGAGAATGAATAACTCTTGTTATCTCATATTCTGATATATGAAATATTAACATTTAGTTTTGTAGTAATGATACACCTTCCACTCTCTTGTCCTGCTTTGCAACATGGTCTATGTCTGGACCTGTCCTTGAACACATACCTGTGTCCAGGTGTTCACCCAGGTATGACATGAAAGGGATGTCAGCAGGTACTTAAATCATCTTCCAATTAATACGTTGGGCATATAATGAAGGGACCATCCAATTGATTTGTTACTAGTTTGTTTATCTAAGACCTGTTTGGTTTCACAAACTTTCAATATCCTTTTGTATTTAAGAAGCCGAGTTTTCACTAGTTTTATAATACCCCTAAGCAACAAAGGGTGCCATCACTATTGAAATAACATTGGTTATAAAAATGTCATATCATAAGAGACTTCCATTGTGATAACGCCAGTTAGTAGCGGCTAACAGGTGCAATAGCAGAATTTTTCTATTTTGGTTTCCAAAGATTATCGAACATCACAGGAAAATGTGTGAGGAGGTAATCATGCTTATTTGTAGCCTAATGCACTTGGCTACAACTACATAAATTGATTCAGAGTACTACCCAGGTGATATCTAAGTCAATATATTGAGACCTGCAAAATATTGTTGCCGGTGATCATTAATGTTACTTTAGCAGATGTACAATATTAATTCTGAAAAGTCATTCCTACCTTCCACGGTCATAATGCCCTCCTGTACTAGTTTCTGGGCTGCAGCAGGCCTGTGAAGGTAAGAACATTGATATATACATACTTCTGTGGTCACAACAAATGAAATTGGATGACTCACATTTACTGCTGTTATAAAACAATAAACCAACATCACATATGATTGGAGAGGTATATATATGAATAATTAGAAATAATTAAAGTTTGTCTCATGAGAAACCTATGTGAAGTGAAAGCTAGTTCAAAATACTTCAATGTCCTACAAACATTTGTACATGTGATGTTGAGACTCTTTAAATGTAGATCAAGTTATATATGTATAATATAATCAATGTTCATTTTATACAATTTATGTAGCGAGACATAGTCATACATCATCATGGTCTCTATAATGCCAGAGATAGGTTACAAATAGGCAGTGTTTACCCTATACCAGTCACTTTAGTTAAGGCATTGATGGCCACACTGGTGTCATCGGCTCGGATCTGCAAAATTATAAATATCAATCAGGTTTTCATTGGGGATAGAATTTAGAGTTCTATCGTACTTTTGTAAAAGAAATCAATATTTTCAGTCGTAATCACTCAGAGATATATTGTACTGACATTAAGTACATCAATTAGAGAATTTTTTGTAAGTTAATAGTATGAAGATATGTTGTATAACATACTTTCTGTGCATCAATTATGCTTCTCTAGGGGGCAGTGTTTTTTAAGAAACTTCAGAAAAAATGTACATAAAAAAACCCACCCATTCTCTTCACTGGTTGTATAGATTTGAAACATTTCATACTTAAATCAATAAGCACATATCAATGTCTATTTCTCACAAGTTCTCAACGAAACTGGTAAAAGTACTTGTCCGCTCATCATGACAAGTGGATTTGATAGATGGATATCAATTTTCATTAGCAACTAGTCTGTCAGACGAGTAGATTACTTTCATGTATTTCCATGTATTAATGCAATAAAAATGTCTTGCCAAAGCATTCCCTTTGCTGAATCAATTATTTCAAAAAAGCTGAGCCCTAACATCTGATATAAGTGTGTACAGCTGTTAAATCATTTTGTGACAGAAAGAATATCATCTAAAGGTCGCTATATATTGGCTGATCAATAGTTCTTATTTCTGGCTATTCAATAGCTATGATCACTATCTGATCAACAGCTCTGATCACTCGCTATTCAATATTCAAAGGTCTGACCACTGGCTGATCAAAGATCTGACCACTTGCTGATCAAAGGTCTGACCATTGACTGATCAAAGGTCCGACCACTGGCTGATCAAAGGTCTGACCACTGGCTGACAAAAGGTCTGACCACTGGCTGATCAAATGTCTGACCACTGGCTGATCAAAGGCTCTTACCATTTGTTGATTAAATGCCCTGATCAATGGCCGAGTGCTAGCTCTAGACCTGATCACTAGATATTCAAAAGCTCTGATCAGCAGTGATGTGTAAACCTGGTGTAAAATACCTTTTCTAACTTGACAAGCTTTCCTGTTCGTACAAATTCATCAATCTTTTTTGAAATTTTATCTCCAATTCCATCCTGAAAAAAAGTTTGAAAACAAATTATGGAAGCATTCATATATGTTTTCTTCATTGAGATACTCAGGTATTGCTTTGCTATAATTTGCTACATTTTCAGAAAGAGACCTTTGAGTGAAATTACTCATCATCCTGGCAAAAGAAATGATTTGTGGTGGTTTTTTAAACTGCAATTATTGCTAAATGTTGATGTTGCTGAATATAAAAAATCTGAACGGCATAGATTGTTGCTGAGAAAATACAGAAATCTAAAACTGCAAATGTTAGGATAACAGTATTGCAACTTATCTAGTTCTTGTAGTTGTAACTCATTTATTTAGTGATAGGTGTCTGACACAACCTTGGTCCTTGAATTTATTGAAGAATGAAAGAAATGTTGACTGCTCTGATTAGTGTTTTCATGCTGCATACATACATACTGATTAGCTTGATGCTTACCAGCTTTTTTGCCTCTTCTCCAGTGTTGATGCGGACTGGATGCTTAGCTAGAACACCTGCTGCTTTCCTGTAGGCATTGTATTTGTGCATCGCACGATTGACATTCTTTTCATAGTTTGCCAATTCTGTAAAAGTAAATGGAAATTATATGTATATGTTCATTGCCTGATACACGTTGACAGTGAGACGGCATATAATCACAATATATCCATGCAAATTTGAAAATACAGTAGAATTAAATCCCATTATCACAATTCTAAATCAAAAGCTACATTTCAAGCATGACAAATTCATTGATTGACACGACTGAAAGACTTCAAATTTGTAAACAATAGGCCATAACCATATTTTGCATGACTTGCATGGGTCTCAAGGTAGCCAAGGAGAATATGTTGTGACAATCATTGCTAGCTTTGTCAACATTTATTTGTTTTGGGCTCATGATGTGAGCTCATGGCATTTGATAAATAAACCCTAAATCAATTGGAGAAAAGGAACAGGAGACTTATATGTGTACTTTACCAGCTGTATTCAGCAATAGGAATTTACGTTCACAAATAATATATACAAATATGAACAAGACTGAAGCTTACAATACAACAAAGAACATTGTGTAAAATATAGGAGTTGAGAGTAAAAAACACGTCTGCATAATTAAATTCAACTACAATTAAAGTGTAACTTTGTGACAATATCAATAGCATGAAAATTTACACCTGGGAGAGGCACAATCACTGTACCTTACCTTTATTTCAAACCCATTAGTAAACTAAAACCGTTATCGTTTTATAGAATTACAATCGTTTTCCATAGACATAGATGTCGTATATAATTATACTCCGACTCGCCTACTAGCACCTTATTACCAAATACAAAAGCTTTCTTCGTGATTGTTTGTGTTACAGTGAAAAAGGAGCGAGTCCGCTGCGAAAGAAGTTGGTATATGGGGAGGGTTAGTCGAACTGTTGTCAGTAAGCTTTTGAAGGAGGGGAGATAATCTCTTTCGGCTTGGATAATTGATGATATCCGAATCTTGATATTTTCAACGTTAAAGTACCCATCAAAAAGTCGCAGAATTCCGAGTTGACATTGTCTGAAGTTGGAGCTTTCCTCTTACTCATAGCGACAACCGGATTTACCCTCAGCGGAAGGCAAACCTTAGAGAACACAAATGTACAAGCCCAGCCACGATGTGCAGACGCTAGCATTTGTTTATTATGAGTGAACTACTTCCGGTTCAATCAAACCAAAGAAGACAACGGAACACGGATTCATGTCCTGTTGCAGTAATACGCCAATTTGATAAAACGAGGGCAAAATTTGAACAAAAGAAAGATTAATACGGAGACCTCTGAGAAGGAAAATAAGACAACTAATAAAAGAAAATAATAGAAATAATAATAACCAATTTATTAAATAAATGAATCTGTTGAATAATATTCTCGCCTCCTACACTTGGACAATCCAAAAAAATAATGTTACATATACAAGTGACGCAACCCAAATTGGAACACTTTTTGAAAAAAATTCTAAAAAACAAAAAAAAAAAAAACAAAAAACAAAAAAAAGAAAGAAAAAGAAATCAAGAAGTGTTTTAATTTTGCTTTTTTCTTGACATTTCACGAACATATTTCTTCTGCTTTCATTTCATGCTTTGGTTACTTGTCAGCAGCGCGCGTCTATAAAATAACACAGAAAGGCATGCAAGGTTCAGCAATGCGTTTCAACAGATACAGGTATCCAAGATGAACACTTCTTATATTCAGTTTTTATTTACAGAAATAAATGACACAGTCTTTAACATATTTCTTCACTTTATAACTTTTTCATTAATCTCAGACATTTATCTATCAAAAATTTCAATTTTATAAACACTTATCATTATTTAAAAACATGATGAAATATTTGTTATGTTGCATGGCACCATTTCCCAAAGTGCACTTATTATCTTTTTTTTTTCAATTTCAAATAGATATGATAAGCAAAGAATAGTTATATTCACTTGTATTAGAAAATATGAATTCTGCGTCATGTCAAATTAATTTATGAATACCTCGTTTCTTGTGTAGTTATATTCACTTGTACATGTATTGCAAAATATAAATTCTGCGTCAAGTATTTGAGAATTGATCCATTTAGGGTAGCGTCACGTTCCCAAATGAGAGTAAGATTAATAACAACAGAACCTATGGCAAGCCGTTTTAACATATAATCCTTTTTTCTCTTAAAGTATAAACCATTAAATTTGTTCACTTAAGTGATATTGGAAACAGTTGGGCCTTGAAGATTGAATCAACTGCTAATTATAAACACCATATTCTAGGAATTGAACATTTACAATTAGGAAATCGGAATGACACCGTATCAAGTTGGTTACAATCTTTCCCTGATGGTTTTGTTGTTGGAAAAGATCATCGTAACGGCTAGTGAAGTAGAGTGTGTCATGTCCTTGATTTCCATTTCGGGTAGATATATACGATGGATATCGTGAATTTTTAAAAATAAGACATTATCAGTGTGTCTAAAGGTGAAATAGAATGACCTTTTTTTAAAGTCCAGATTTGATAGTATACGTAGAATGTGAAGGTATAGGGGTTATCGAGCATGTGACGGGATAACCATCAGTCATTTACGATTGGTGTACAAATGTATACTTTTTACCAATTATGTCTCTGACATTGCATGTGTCGGCTATGTTAATTGTGGTTACGCTGATCATTTAAAGTTGAAATGAGTAGCGTAATTACATTTAACTGACACCTTATTACATGTAATTATGGAATTTCATCAACCTCGGAGATTTATTTGGTGAATGAAATTAAGACTAGAGTGGGATAAGCGAGAGGCGTTCTGATTTTCTGAGTTATTGCCCTTTGTTTTCTCTCTGTCAGTACACAAATGTATAGAGATAAGCTTGCTAGCCGATGGGGGTCGAGAATGGAGGGAAAGGGTGACGTAGGGTGGGGGGTGGGGGGTGGGAAGCGAGAATTAGCTAAAATGATAATAAAAACGTAAATACAGACGTGGAAACAACATCCCAACCCTGACTCGATATTTTAAAACGATCGTGAACCAAATGAAAAGAAAAGAATTTATTGCAAAAAAAATCACGCAAGAAAATAAGATTTCGACAATGACACCGCGAAAGGTTCCATAACTTTCTTGAGACACCTTGTAAGGTTACTGCGATAAGGGAAGTATTATCGACATCGTTATATAAAGATCTGGTAAATTCCCGTTAGGAAGCTTGATGCATGCATCTTTATCACACAGTTAAGTAGTAAGATACCCTTATCTCGGAATGTGATAAGAAAAGAGCTTTGATTAGCTCGCGAAAATTCCATGTTGGTCGATTATTTTAAGAAAATTAGTCACCTTTGAAAATTTTATCTTGGTAAAGGTTTCTCGATATGACACCACTCAGAGTGACGACACGTCAGGATTCTGTACGTAAATGATAGAAATACTGCATGTAAACAACAGAGATTCAGCACGTGTATGATAACGATTCTGCACGTGTACGATAGATAGATACCAAATGTATTGTCTACCTGTATGATAGAGATTCTGAACGTGAACGACAGGGATTCTGTACGTGTATGACAGAGATACTGTATGTAAACAACAGAGATTCAGCACGTGTATTATAGAGATTCTGCACGTGTAAGATAGATAGAAATTCTGTGTGAATATTAGATAGAGATTCTGCACGTGTATGTAAATTAGATAACGGCACATTCACCATTCTGTGTGAATATTATAGAGATTATGTACGTGTAAGAGATTCACCACGTGTATTATAGAGATTCTGCACGTGTAAGATAGAAAGAAATTCTGTGTGAATATTAGATAGAGATTCTGCACGTGTAAGATAGATAGAGATTCTGTGTGAATATTAGATAGAGATTATGTACGTGAATAATAGAGATTCAGCACGTGTATTACATGGATTCTGTACGTATAAGGTAGATAGCGATTCTGTACGTGTATGGTAGATAAGGATTCTGTACGTGTATGGTAGATAAGGATTCTGTACGTGTATGGTAGATAAGGATTCTGTACGTGTATGGTAGATAAGGATTCTGTACGTGTATGGTAGATAAGGATTCTGTACCGTTTGGTAGATAAGGATTCTGTACGTGTATGGTAGATAAAGATTCTGTACGTGTATGGTAGATAAGGATTCTGTACGTGTATGACACATAGAGATTCTGTACGTGTATGGTAGATAAGGATTCTGTACGTGTATGATAGATATAGATTCTGCACGTGTATGACACATATAGATTCTGTACGTGTATGGTAGATAAGGATTCTGTACGTGTATGACACATATAGATTCTGTACGTGTATGTTATATATGGATTCTGTACGTGTATGACACATAGAGATTCTGTACGTGTATGTTATATATAGATTCTGTACGTGTATGGTAGATAAGGATTCTGTACGTGTATGACACATATAGATTCTGTACGTGTATGTTATATATGGATTCTGTACGTGTATGGTAGATAAGGATTATGTACGTGTATGACACATATAGATTCTGTACGTGTATGACACATATAGATTCTGTACGTGTATGTTATATATGAATTCTGTACGTGTATGACACATAGAGATTCTGTACGTGTATGTTATATATGGATTCTGTATGTGTATGATAGATAAGTATTTAATATGTGTATATTACATCATGTCATAGGTTTCTTCTCGTCCTATTTTAGCCAATCTGACCCGTATAGCCCTCATGTTTCGTCCGTCGTCGAATGCCGTACGCCGTCTATTAAAGAGCTACCAAGATGTTAATATGAATTACCTTGACGTCCTCTCAAGGTCACAGGGTCAAATATGTTTAAATGACATCTTCTGAATAATTAAAAGACTCATAGTGCTGATAATAGGTCTGTTACATGCTTGGAGTTTTGGCTACCAAGTTTCTTAATAAGAATGACACTGACCAACTTTCAAGGTCACAGGGGTAAAATATGTTAAAATGTGATGAAATGCTACCAAGTTTGTTCAACTTGATCTACTGTCAAGGTCACAGGGGTAAAATGTGTTGAAATGCGTAAGCAACACTTTCTCAATAACCAAAAGACCAGGGTCTTGTTATTTGGCCTGTAGCTTGATTTTTCAAGAAGCTATATGTCCAGAGTAATGGTATTCGTGTAGTGCATGTAAAAAGAATATGATTTCAAGTTTGCAGTAAATGTCTTTATAAAACAACCAATGTCTTCTAAGTAAGCTGAAGTGAAGTTGAGTAATTTATTCTAGTCCTGTTTAGCCTCTTTCATTTAGTCAGATGACACTGAAGGTCCGAGGTCATCTTGTTTTCACTTCTTTTTATCTTTCACATCCTTTCCTTGTACTTCATGTTTTGCTATTTTTCACAAATACAAAAAATGGAAATCAGTTAATTCGTTTTCCCGTTTGATGCCGCCCTACTAATCATTGTGTAACTAATGGATACAGATTTATATAAGTTGCGAAACAATTTTTCTGAATCCGATTAAGATGTGATTCTAACTGCTATGTTATACTATATGTATGTAATTATGAAAGAAATGAAGTTTATATTAAAACGAAATCACGTATTTGTTGCATTTGAGTTTAGGCGAGTGTCGATATGGCAAGTCAAATCAATTAAATACATGAACTGGTCCCAAATGTGATATCGAGTGTTAGCTGTCTTGGTGAAATGCTATCCACTGTTATCTTTGACTGTCGTAAAGATTTATACATATTACATCGAGAGCGATAAAACAAATTATGACGTCAGGTTTAATAACCCGAGTTCCCATTTCGTATGTGATTTGCGAGTCTGAGAACTTTTCATATCAGTGAGGCTGGTACAGATATTCCTTTGTTCAAAATCACTTGTACCAGAGACATATATATACGTCTCTGCTTGTACTACACAAATGACCAAACTCTTTCATCACCGTCAACAATAGATAAACATGTAAAATGGGTTTCTTATCCACTAAGTTTATATGTCAAGCCTTATTTGTTGTCAATCGACACCATACAGGTAACGTTTGTTATTTGGGCTTAAAAAAGAGTCGATTAGGTAGAACAGTGCCTGTATTGGTGACAGTCGATAAGCTATGTTTTCTATACATTTTCTTCTATTTTTTTTTTATTTGACCTTGTGGGCTCGACTTAACTAACGTGGCATCAAATTGAATCCGCATCCGCATACATTTTTAAATATAATGTAAAGCTGCGTCACGCGGCACTCCTAGATTACTAAATACATCCATCAAACGGATCCACTGGAATGCTGAATATTTTTTTCTTGAAATATCGCCTTTAAATAAAAGAAGGACAAAAGCTTAATGCAAGACTAAAAGTACAAGCGCTTTGTTGTAATTCAACCCGGAAGTAATAAATTATTCGACCTCAGCTCTCGAAATTTTGAAGTACATAAGCGTCAGACATGCCGTAACGTGGCATTGCTTGACAGCTAGTAGACGAACACACTTGCATCAGACGTTACGGTTGTTTATATACAGATCCAAAATGTGTGGTGAGTTTTAGCAAACTGAATAAGTGTACTTTTTTCGTTTTTAGCTACATCTGAAGCCGTTGATTTTTGAAAACACGGTTCTCCTCGTGTTGAGCATCTAGTCAGAATCCAACCTAGATGCCGTTGTTTGGATGTAATTTGTCTACTTTCTGTTTGTCTTAAGTATGCATGTGTACAAATATAAAATACTGCCAATATGCACGTACTGTTATTTCACAAAATATTCTAATGTTTCTATGCTTTATAATCCTGAGATTAAGACCGCTACTAGTATATCGTAATACTGGTTGATGTGTTTCAGTAGTTTGTTTACGTTATCGTTTGCTGTGCTGGGTTACAACATCAGATCTAAATAAACAATCAGTAAAACCGTTGTCGGACCGAACTACTTACTTAAACACAGCTGGCAAGATTAAAGATAATGTTGAACCAGTAAAAGTATGTTCCAGATATTAAGACATAAAATGATTTTTTTCCTTAGCCATGAAAAAACCCCAGTTAATTTACCATAATGTACACTTAGGTTTGAGAAAATAAGATAAAAGACATTCTAATTCTAACAAAATGTTATAAATTATGTTAATATGAAATCATCGTTTTCAGATAGAATAAGTTGTATTTGCTGAAAATGAAACATTGAATTGTGAATCTTGAGATCTTGTTTCTATTGCATCAGAAAGACAGTACGCAATTCACATGTAGTTATTTGGTTCATTTTAACTTTCTCGTGTTGTAAGATTTCACATAGGAAAAATTTAATTAAAATCAAATTTGATTAAATGTAGAATGGATAAAGGTTAGTTCATTCTTCAATATAAAATGGATCAAGTTTATTTTACTGTTCAGTGTAGAATGGATAAAGTTTAGTACATTTTTCAATGTAGATCTAGAATGGATCCAGTTTAGCACATTTTTCGATGTAGAATGGAACAAGTTTAGCACATTGCTCATTGTAAAAAGATCAAGTTAATTATATTGTTCAATATAGAATCAGTCACTGAATATATCTGTGTGTACTGTTTTACATGTGAGCATTGAGAATGAAGAGCCTCATTAGATCGGTTTTTCAAGAAACTTAAATTAATTAGTAGTTAGTAATAAAGCTAACATTCCTTATAAGCGTTTATTTATTTCTGCTGTGGATGGTATTGTATGAAGTATCTGTTTCCTTTCACCCCTACTCAAGAGAAAGTGCCTTTGGATAGAAATGTTTGTCATTTAATTTGTTAGAAGTCTGATGTTAGAGACGTGAAGATATTTGTGTGTCACTAAGTTAACAAGCATATGTAAACCTGTAATGTTTTCTTCATCTTATCAACCTGTCCGTAATCAAGACTCATCGTGTAAAGTTTCATTGACTGGGTTTGTACAATTTCTGCTCCTCACCTGTGTGGTACTCACCTGTGTGATAAGAAAGTGTAGGTGGGGTGTTGTCAACCTGTGGTCAGTTTTATCTTAGGAGTGGATCAGGACGACACTTTAATGTCTGTTACATAGCTTTGTGTGACATGTTGGATAGACACAACAGTACTATAATGCCTGTAATGTTATGTAACATAACTTGGTTGTTGGGCAAGATCTGTGAAAGTGACGTACATAAGGTGATGTCACTGATAACTAGGACTAAATGATGTCTTCATCTCATCACTGCTGTATTTTCCTTCTGATTTATTGCAAAATTGTATAAAAGTAGCGAGCATTTCTAGATAATGAATAGAAATTTTTTTAAGCATTCTCTGAAACAAAATGAGTGCTTGATTTGTTTATGTTTGAAAGAAAATAAAAACATCATGACTGAAATACTCGTGTCGAATAATGACTGTCAAACAATTGATCAGTAATTTATTAATTTTGTTGATCTTATAATAGTATATGTCATAGTAATTGTAGTTGAAGCACTGCAAATATTTATTGCAGTGATTGATCAGAATTGAAAATTGAAGTGTGACTTATGAGATCTAAACTTAAGTTACTAGTATAATTTTGTTTTAAGTATTGAAAGTTGAAGGAAATTTCCAGTGATCACATAAAAAGAGAGAGATATACTGATTTTAAATCACATAAAAAAAATTGATTGTCCTTTTCACATTTTCTGAGAAAAATCTTAGATTTATAAATAGACTTTAGAGACACAATGACAGTTAACCTGAGTATACAATTTCATTGTATACATAAAGACATAGGTATGCAAATGTTATGTAACAGGATTTTATTGATAAACATGAAGCAAAGTCAGACCATGTGAAATAGATGAAGTTTGATAAAACAAATAAATAATAACAATATTTGCCTCTTTTTTGTCTGAAATTTTAAAGACAAATATGCTAATATTTGATTTCAATTGTCAAATAACAGTTTTCACAGCAATATAACACAAATTAAAAGTGATTGTAGTATTATTTTTCTCTGGAATCACTTTATGTTATCCAAGTGTTTGAAAACCATGTTGGTTTGATTATCTCCATGCTTGATATGCTGATAATTTCTAGATAAAACATTTTGGTTTGCTTTTCAATCTTTGATAAAATTGCATGAATACATATCTATTACCTAATAAGATTTGAAGATGAAATTAGTAATAAATATCAAACTAGGAAAATTTTGAATACTATGTACAAATTATTTATTGTCTTGATAATAAAAAAAAAGAAAAAGAAAGAAAACTTTGATATGGGTGTCCATTTGTATTTATTGACCTATTTTTGTATCCTAATTTAACTTTACTTGGAAGTTTGGTATGCTATTTGTTAACAGTATTCTGGACTGCATTCTTAGGTCAGGTTTGTACATAGTCATTATGGTAATGTGTGATCCCAGGTCTGCAAAATATGAAATAATATACAATGTAGGTCATGAAACTCCCATCACACTCCGAAGCTGTAAGAAGTGTTTGGTGATGCCACTCCCTTATTTACATATGTATATGTTTATTGTACTACCTATAAAAAGTCTTATTCCATCTAAACATTTCATACTTAATGATTCATTGTCTGACAGTGGTTGGTAAATAAAATAAGTGAGTTGTAAGTAATGATTGAAATGGCCGTAGGCAGAAACTTGGCTCCTTAGAATAGATGTCAATTACTTCGTGTTAATTCAGTTGTACATTTGATAATTGAAATAAAATGACAATAGTGATATACATCTGAAAAATATCTGAAAAATTGATGACTACTTAACAGCTGTGGGAGTGTGGTGGGAGTGGTATCACCAGACACTACTTACAGCTGTGGGAGTGTGATGGGAGTGGTATGACCAAACACTACTAACATTTGTAGGAGTGTGATGGGAGTGGTATGACCAAACACTACTTACATTTGTAGGAGTGTGATGGGAGTGGTATCACCAAACACTACTTACAGCTGTGGGAGTGTGATGGGAGTGGTATCACCAGACACTACTTACAGCTGTGGGAGTGTGATGGGAGTGGTATCACCAGACACTACTTACAGTTGTGGGAGTGTGATGGGAGTGGTATCACCAAACACTACTTACAGCTATGGGAGTGTGATGGGAGTAGTATCACCAGACACTACTTACAGCTGTGGGAGTGTGATGGGAGTGGTATCACCAGACACTACTTACAGCTGTGGGAGTGTGATGGGAGTGGTATCACCAGACACTACTTACAGCTGTGGGAGTGTGATGGGAGTGGTATCACCAGACACTACTTACAGTTGTGGGAGTGTGATGGGAGTGGTATCACCAGACACTACTTACAGCTATGGGAGTGTGATGGTAGTAGTATCACCAGACACTACTTACAGCTGTGGGAGTGTGATGGGAGTGGTATAACTAGACACTACTTACAGCTGTGGGAGTGTGATGGGAGTGGTATCACCAGACACTACTTACAGCTGTGGGAGTGTGATGGGAGTGGTATCACCAGACACTACTTACAGCTGTGGGAGTGTGATGGAAGTGGTATCACCAGACACTACTTACAGCTGTGGGAGTGTGATGGGAGTGGTATCACCAGACACTACTTACAGCTGTGGGAGTGTGATGGGAGTGGTATCACCAGACACTACTTACAGCTGTGGGAGTGTGATGGGAGTGGTATCACCAGACACTACTTACAGCAGTGGGAGTGGTATCACCAGACAATACTTACAGCTGTGGGAGTGTGATGGGAGTAGTATCACCAGACACTACTTACAGCTGTGGGAGTGTGATGGGAGTGGTATCACCAGACACTACTTACAGCTGTGGGAGTGTGATGGGAGTGGTATCACCAAACACTACTAACATTTGTAGGAGTGTGATGGGAGTGGTATCACCAAACACTACTTACATTTGTAGGAGTGTGATGGGAGTGGTATCACCAGACACTACTTACAGCTGTGGGAGTGTGATGGGAGTGGTATGACCAAACACTACTAACATTTGTAGGAGTGTGATGGGAGTGGTATGACCAGACACTACTTACAGCTGTGGGAGTGTGATGGGAGTGGTATCACCAAACACACTACTTACAGCTGTGGGAGTGTGATGGGAGTGGTATCACCAGACACTACTTACAGCTGTGGGAGTGTGATGGGAGTGGTATCACCAGACACTACTTACAGTTGTGGGAGTGTGATGGGAGTGGTATCACCAGACACTACTTACAGCTATGGGAGTGTGATGGGAGTAGTATCACCAGACACTACTTACAGCTGTGTGAGTGTGATGGGAGTGGTATGACCAAACACTACTTACATTTGTAGGAGTGTGATGGGAGTGGTATCACCAAACACTACTTACAGCTGTGGGAGTGTGATGGGAGTGGTATCACCAGACACTACTTACAGCTGTGGGAGTGTGATGGGAGTGGTATCGCCAGACACTACTTACAGCTGTGGGAGTGTGATGGGAGTAGTATCACCAGACACTACTTACAGCTATGGGAGTGTGATGGGAGTGGTATAACCAGACACTACTTACAGCTGTGGGAGTGTGATGGGAGTAGTATCACCAGACACTACTTACATTTGTAGGAGTGTGATGGGAGTGGTATC